TTTCTGTATTCAAACCTATTATTAAAATATTCAAAGAATGTATTCAATAAGGCAAAAAGTAGTTGTATGGGAGGTAATTGGTGTATGGAATAATAAGTTATTGATAGAAGGTGGCGTGATAGAGTCTTGTTGACTCGAAACAATCGATAAAGCTCTGCCAGAGTTGGGTGGTTGTATAAAAGATGGATTTTTAGTTATAGTTGTAATGTAGTGATTATTCGAGGAATATATAGACTGCAATATTTCTACATCAATATTCAACAAATAAATAAATACAGAAAGAGGAGGAGGGGTGGCATATAGATATAGAGGGCGGATAAATTCACTACGCATTTAGTCTTTTGCTAGTTGAGTAGCGATAGCTACAATGGCCTCTTCATTATATTCGATATTTTGCATATGAATTAGATTCCAAATATACGATATTCTATATGATATGTGAAATGAGTTAATATTTATTTGATAGGAGTTGATAGCTTTGTATAGATTAAAGTAGAATAATGGTGCAGGGTTAAATATCAAATAGATTTATTTTGATTGCTTTTTCCGTTTATTTATTATCAAAAAAACGCTGAGTTATTATTTGCCCATGATTTGACAGGAATTGATAGAAGTTGATAGAAGCTCAATAAACTGTATCATAAATGGTTATAATTCAATCTATATTTCTAATATTACTTTATTATTATTATTATTGTTATTATGGTATTATATCTCTGGTATTATTTCATTATTCAATTGTGTTTCTGGTATTACTTCATTAGATTGAGTTTTTTCAACCTAATGAATTAGAAACCTATATCTCTGTCGAAGTCGAGCTAAGAAATCATTTGTATCTCGATTAACACTTCCAGAAAAACTAATTAAATTAGGTAAAGGGGAGAGTGGAAAAAATAGATCCGAATTTATTAAATAGGGAAGATATGGAAATCAAAGAGTCGAATCTACTAATAAACAAGAATAAACCTGATATAACAATTCGGTCTTCGAATATAAGTGGTGATGATATTGATATTCGTTTTTTATCTTAATATACTTTTTATAAACATTGTGCTCTGTATAGATATTGTATTTTGAATAGATATTAAAGATGCTATTATTTCAGATTGAATAGTTAATATCTCGAATTGATTGTTTTTAATATAAGAAATATTAATATCCTTATTTAATATTAAAGAACTATCTGATTAGATTATTTGAACTCGAGGTTAAATATTAGGTTTATTTTCTTTTTTAAATTAGTTTTGTTAAAGTATTTAGTATATAAGAATATTATCCAAAGCTATATAGATTATATTCAATTATTCTTATATTAAAGCTAATATTACTATTTCTGGTACTTTTTTTAAAGTAATCTTTTGTTATTTAGCTTTTCTTTTGATTTTTTTTACTTCAATTAATATTTATTTATATACTATATATAATTTTTCAATTTCGGAATAAAATCCTTGAAACAAAAATATTAATTTATTTTTATATTAATCAAAATATCGTTATATTTTAAAATTGGGGACTTTTTTATATAATTTGTCTAGAATCAACTTATTCTATTAATCAAATAATTGAACTTGCAGCTATTGATAATATAAATCCATTATCTTCTAGTATATACTTTCCTTTATAAAGTAACTATTTAGTAATACAAATTATTATTGATTGGTTGCTATTTTTGATACTTCAATTTTATACCAGTTTTCCAATAACTCTAATACAAATATACTTAAAGTATTCTTTCGGGATTTGAATACTGATATAATCTTATTTAGTGGCTTAGATGGGATAGAGAGAAGATCTGGATTGTATTATTGTAATATTTTTCTAGCGGAACACTTTCTCTCTTCTCTTTTATTACTAAAAGATTTTCCTCAAGATAATTGAGGAATGTCTTTTTATAGTATAAGCTATTGCAAATAGCCAATTAAATAGAAAAAATACTAGCTTTTTGAATTATCTCAGTTTTTATTCAAATATATTGGTTTTGTAAAGTAAAGTATATTATATTATTACTAGCAATACCATCTTCAATATCGGTTTCCATATTAGTCTCTTCTTCATTTACCGAATTCTTGTTATCTAGTTGATTTTCTAGAGCTTGTAAAGCTTACAATTATCTTGTTTTTTGATAGGATGGTAAGAAATGTCTTTCCGCTATCTTTTGTATTGAAATAGAAGTTTTGTTTATATTAATATTAAATTCTTCTATTTCTATAGAATAATATTTATTGGAATTAAAGCAAAAATATGGAATGAATACATATACAGTATTAATATATTCTAATTCTTTTTCTTTTTATTCTATTTATTATCAGATCTCTATTATCAATTGCTTTCTTATATCTTAAAGAATAATTAGATTTATATTAAAGATATTAATATCTATAATAAAAGTAATAATAGCAGTAGTAATATAAACAATTAATATCATCTTTGCGAATTTATTATATCTTATCTCTCGATTCTTTACATCAACCTTTAAATAAAACGAAATAATGATTTCCATAATACTAAAGCTTTTATTCTTTATTTCGATAAAAAATAATACATCTTTACCCTTTGTTTTCTCCAAAAAAATATTTTGAAGATATATTTTTATTATATCAGTTTCGTTTTTAGTATTCACAAATACTATAATTTTAGAAATCTTTTCTAGAATTAGATTTCCGTTTTTATTAATAGTATTATCTAAAAGATAGTATAAGGACTTATAGAATTTGATTTATTTGAAAGGAATAAGAACTATCGCTAGCAAAATATTTAGATAATTGATGGATATATAAATAATATATATTTGATATAATTAAAAGTCTAATCTTCAAAATCCTTTTTTTTCTAAAACTATCTTTTGGCTTTTTATATTCAAAGTAATAGTATATCCAAACTATACAACTCTTTAAAGCAAAAGATACTATAACTAACCTAATATAATAAATTTAGGTCGAAATTCTTTTTATTACAAAATAAAATAATATTTATTTATAGCTATAAGCCCAATATTAGATTGCCAATTCAGGAGATGCGAGTGTATCCCTAAATTTAGATAAAGCTATCTGTTCAAAGCCTAATAGGATATATATATACTTCAATTAATGGATTTGATCAATTATATCAATTTTCTCTTTTAATAATTCGAAATTCAAAAAACAGAATAACATTCCAGAAAGCTTTTTGATATCCTCGAGTTGCTCCTTTCCAAGTTTTAATAATAAAACTATTTGGAGAGTAATCTTTTCTATCAAAATAAAAAACAAATAAAATATCAAACTCTTTCCAAATCTGGTTTTAGTAAATAAAGAGTATTGCTTTTTCTATAAATTAAATAACAAAGAATCTGGGTTTACATAAACTTGGGTTTTCGAATAGTAATAGGATTTAAAAATCAAAGGATTCTTTTAAGATATAATCTAATAAGCTCCTCTTGCTTTTTAATATATTTATTTGCCTTTTTTTTTTTGATTATCACAAGCATATCCTTTAATTCAATTTTATAAATTTACTTCATATATTCATCTAATCTAATCATCAATATTGTTAGTATACTAAACACAATTAACACAATCCCACAATTATCCCTAAGCTTTCTAGATTTGGCCCATTTAAAATATCTATCGGTTTTTTTTTGTTTTGAAGATATACTGATATAATACAATACTTCAAAGTGATAGCAGGAGTTTGCAGAATATATAAAAAGTTCCCAGAAGATAATAAAAGTTCACAGAAGTTCTTATAAATTAATAAATATTTGTAAAACATAATAGATATTAATAACAAATTAAGCAAAAGCTAATAAAAAGAAACAGAAATTTCTAGAAATCAGTAAGAATAAATACAACAAAGTTTTTTTTGTTTTTTGAATCGATTTTCAATCTCTATATTAAATATACACTTCACTTTCATTTCACTTTTACTTCACTTTTATTTGAATTTACTTACAATTCATATAGGAAACTCTATCTATATTTAAAAGCAATCTCAATATATCATAAAAAAAGAAATAATTATTATACTATTGCTATCACTAAAAAATAGTATCTGACTACTTACTTTTTAATAAAAACAACACTAATAGAAATATAAATAATACAATAGGGTTATTAGAATCAAAGAGATCTTTAGGATATATATAATTATATAGATCAATGAGTAGAAGTGATAGATTAAGGGAAAGGGATGATCATCGTTATAAAATATTGGTTTTCAAAAATATATGTTTTCGATATATATATATATAATTGAATAAAGTTATTATAATAAAGAATATATCAAAATAATAAAAAAATCCATTTATATATATTGAATCTATACCAAAGTAATACAACTATTGAATGATTTACAATCTTTAATTGAAAAGTCGAAAAATAACAAATTGTTGGTTTTCACATCAAAGCCGGAATCAAATTGTTTCAGACTCTACAATGATAAACCTTCGGGAGGCCTCTGCCTCGAAATCAAGGCCAAAAATTATGTAATCACTGTGTGGTCTGAGGATGAGATAACATATAGAAGTCTGGTGCTGATGTTCTTGAACAATACTACAGTAGTAAGTTGATGCATCTGTCTGTTTATGTACATAAACCTATTTTTACTACTAGAATAGTACGGTCGTTGAACTATCCTCCTTTTGCTGCCACAAGAAAACAAATTTAATGATCTCTTTTTTCCGTTTCTTATGATCTATCCGCCAAACAGTCATGATCCATCAAAAGAGGGCCTGTGTAAATGTTCACAGCCCCATCCACCTCGATTTAAACACTCAAGAACAATTCTCGAGGTCAATATTTTCTGGAGAAAGGCGTGAAAGGGATCATTCCATTGATACAACATCAATATCCCATCAATGCTATTCAGCTATCTCATTATTATTGTGGTACTTGTATTTTGGAGTGATTTTTCAATTAGCCAGATACTGGTGATAGAAAAATAGTTCAAGAGCTTTGTCTATGTGCAACACAGTGCATATCAAAGTGCAAGGACAAAAAGCCTGATCATATTCGTCACATTCACAAGAGAAGATTTGTCTAGATAAGTAACATGTCTAAATACAGATAAGAATCAAGGAAATAAGTCCATAACATAAGTGTGAGTCAGTGGATAATCCTCGCTTGCGATGATATTGCCTGCTTCTTCGGTCCTCGTGACCCCGCATCCACCCCCTCTGTCTTCGTAGGTTATATCCGTTTAGGTCCAGTACTCCAAGATTGAGTGAAGTCCCCATGCAGTAATTATCCTACATATCGGACCATATAATCTCATTTCTGAGGCTGAAGTCCTTGGGATCTTGATGCTGTATATACGTCCTGCATCACAAGCTAGTGTAAAGTTCACTGAGGTGCCCAGTGGGTTCGCAGCCAGTCCCAAAATGAAACTGTCTGGACGTTGACCAATGAATTCAGATTGACTTGCGAGGAGTCGTATCTTCTCTCCTCAGTAGCAGACAGCTCCTGCAAGCGGTTAACTCTAGCACTGTCTTGGTAATAAGCTGCTTCCTGAATATTTGCCGCTAGTTCTGGAGCTACAATTATTGTCGTTACAAATTGCTCTGCTCTTCTTGTTAGCATTTGCTTCAGAGGTGCTATCAAAAATAAACAGAAGAGCACTTACGTCCTTTGATAGCTTCTGCATACTGCACAATTTCAGTTACAGTTTTGCGGTCTCCCTGCATTCTGAACTCTGTCGGTCATATCCGCTGATCTAAATACAGAGCTGCTGCGAGGAACCGTGCCACATCATTTACAGATGTCATTGATACTGAAATGGCCTGGCCCATAGTATTATATTCCACTATTTCTGCTGTGTTTGTCTCCATATTCATGAGATAAGAACCTTGATAGCCGAGTGCAGTTGAAGTGCTGATGCCCATTGAAGCTAGGCCTCCTGGAGCGAATCGTTCATAGAAGACCCCACATCCAAAAACAGTATATTGCATTCGATGACGGGGGTGGTGAGCCCAATGTAGAAGTCTCTCAATGCTTGCAGCCCTTCCACGATCTGAGGGGTCATTCGTTGGTCGCCCGCCTAGCTTATCTTTGTATTCTGCAGGGATAAAACGTTGAACGCGGGAATGCGCGGCGGCATCAATGAGGTTGATTTGAGGGTTCCCAGATACCGTGGAAATGACTATATCTATTCCTCGAAGATTAAAGCGAAGATCATCTTGGTCGTCATAATTGACTACAGCCACTTGATAGCCTTGTGTTTCTAGATCTGGTCGACCCTAAAGATACTGGTTAGATTTGTTCAGAGATATCGATGTGCCGAAGTCAACTGACCTGTCTCGATAAGATAATGAATGGATGTACAGTTTTGCTGATCTCATGAGCGATAATCTGTGCCAAGCCGCCTGAGCCTGCCATTGCAATTCTCATCATGTTGTTTGCCATCTCATTGTTAATCATTACCATGTTTAAGTACCCAGAAGAAACTCGAGTTTTTAACAGGATTCTAAATTGTCAAATGTATTAAAAGTGATACAAACGGAAGACCAGGCAATCCTGTAGCCAGAAGAGGTGACTAGCCATGATGATAGAGAGTACTAGGTCGCTTAATGAATCAAAGAAGTATCTTTGATATAAGTGGATGGAATTGTGATAACTCAAGGCCACTTTGTAATTTACCCAGAATTTGCAAAAGGAGCTCAATGCTGTTAGCTAAGAAAGCATTATAGGATGAGAGAAGAGTTGACCACTAGGGTGATGCAGGTGGCAAGTTGGTACACCGGGATCTTGGGTAAGTTAGCCGTCCAGGAATAAGAGCGGTAGTTCAATTTCAAGGGTCAATTCTCAGACTGAAAGGATTTTGCTCGCATAATAAATTGTCCTTAGGCCTAATGGAATCCGTTCCAAGAATCTGCAGTTGGTGAGATACCATGAATCTGTGACCACAGGTATAAGAGGAGCGGGAAGACTTGAATATGATGACACTTGGATGTAGAATCAGCCGGAATAACTCCATAAGAAGGACACATCTTACCACAGATGTGACCGCACTCATTAAATTCGGCTCGAAAAGCGATTTATAGTACAATTGGTAAAGGCATCTACGTAAAAAACTCCCATAGATCGTGATTTCTGATCCTTGTCTGCATGCCGGCAAACATTAACCATGTAAATACCGGCTGTCAAGGGCTGAATGCAATCATGACACCCAAACTCAAAGAGTCTGGGACAGCTCCGGCTTTTTCTTTCCTGCCAAAAGTGCGATCACCCACGAGGAAGAATCGCTGGGATGTAGGAGTGACCAGGTTTTAGCCAAATCAGCCATCGAAAGCATGTAGAAAGTATCGCTTGGTACAATCCATCTTGGTAAATTTAGGAAGTTAATCCCGATTTATGATGGATCACTGACCGCCGGCCTCGTTGAATCTGAGAAGCCTGTCGGATGCCCCAAACTCAAACCAAGACAAAGCTGCTACTATCATTGGCCGTTCTTGGTCACAGGAAATGAGAGATACGCAATCTACGCATCATCTCTGCCATTAAGCATACTTGTGAGGCTTGCAGAGGCATTTACGAGGGGCATATGCAGGTCAGACACATGCCCGAGTAGAAGTGAACATGCGAAAGGAAAGGCAGCACTGGACAACCACAAATATAGTTCATCTTCGGAGAGCAGAATAGGAAGATCCTAAGGGCCACAGAGGATGGTAATGTTGCCAAATGAAGATTACTTGAAAACAAGCCTTGCGTCCTTCATATCCATGAATATCATTGGGGGCGAGCGATAGAGGTAACAATGGGGGCAACGAAAAAAAAATCCATAATGAAGACAATCCAAAATACTAAAGTTCTATAATGGAATGGGGTATGCAAATCCTGTTGGATGGTTTGCGAGCAGGTTGTGACAGCTGTCGGTGTCTTGCCAAATTTATTGTAAGGCTGAAGACATAAAATGTTGATCATTGATCATTCATGCAAGTCGCTTCCGTAGCCTAGGTTGACCCAGGTAGAGTGTTGCCAAAGAATACATTGATTGGTGGAATGTGATTTAGATTTGGACAGGATATTATGTCAGGTTCCACTTTGTAGGCAGGTGCTAGGTACTCTCAGGTACTCTATTAGACACATGAGTTGAGGCTCCATGGCAATCTTCCCTTTCCCCTATAGGTAGGTAACCGAGGCCTAGATGTTTGTCGTCGCTCAATGTAATCTTACAATTAGTTCTTGACCAAACCTTTTGAAAGCCATGACATTGTTAGATAGTGATGAGATGGATAATAATGCTGGATTCGAATTTTCATGTTCATGTTCATGCTGGTGAATAGCTCAGTAGTAATAAGTTTTGATAGGAAAACTTTATTCAGCCACAGCCATCAGAGGACTATTTCTCTCTCGAGAGTCGGGACAGACACAATCACCCTTGTTTTCCCGAGGTACCTCCGATATCTACACCAAGATCTCTTCCACAACATTTGTAAACAACAATAAACACAATATTTCCACAGCATCTTCGAATCCTTTGAAAATTGTTAGAACAATCTTTCATAACCAATATCATTCCAAGATCATCTGTCTTGACTCTCTCTTTTCCCAGGAGATACAGTGCTAAATTCAAGTTGCTTTCTGCCACTTCGATCACCATTACTTTACCTACTAATAGCAGTTTTGCCTTTAACAGAAAATCAATTATTAATCGAATCTAGTTACAATGCGCAGGGGAAAGAAGATGGCTGGAAACGCCAATCTAGAGCCTCTGGGTTCTCGCACCAAAATTCCAACTTATAATTCAAGTCCACTCAAGCAGGAAAAGAACGATGAGGACCCTCCTCACTTTCGTGCCGAAGGCTCGTCTTACATATTTGGATCAATCAAGCAAGAAGGAAACAATGAGTATCGTTTCCGTTCCCGCTCCCCATTGGAAACTCGTCGGCCCCCCCGTCGTATTCGCTCTCGGTCCCGCTCCAGAAGCCTGACGACCACTATCGTTCCATTCCTAGAACCCGTCGGTATTCCATCACCATCGATCGCGTTCCAGAAGCCCAAAAGCTCCTATATCAGTCAAAGCCCGCACAAGTCCCGTCAGTCCCGCCGCTCTATTTCCTCTATTTCGGCCCAAAAGGTATCAAGCTCCAGTTCCTATAGATCTCGATCTCCACGTCATAGAGACCAAGACACTACAAAGGGCTCCTACTATGGAAAATCTCCTCGTAGAGGCTCTCCCACTGATGAAGGCGCCTCAAGAGGGTTCTATTATAGACCGTCTCCTTACGGAGATACTCCTATGGATCGGGGCGTTCAAAATAGTTCCTACTACAGACCAATCGTATTCCATTCGAAACCCGAGCATGTTTTCTGAGTCCAAAAGCCGAGCTTTTTCTCTTGCATCAAGTTATAGTCTTAGAGAATCATTAGATGACGAAGAGGTAGCTTTTACCCGCCCCCATTTATATGCAATTGAAAGTTCCTGCTTCTAACCATTTCAAGACACTGACTACAGTGTCGTGTACGAAACCTTCCAGTCGCAAGCGCGGAGAATTCATGGTCCCTGCCTACAACTACCCTGAGCCATCAAGTCCAATTGAAGAATCATGGGCGGAAATTGCTAGTCGTAAGCATAAAGAATCAATGGCAAACAGAGCAGCTAACATGACCACTTCGAAACATATTTCACTCGCTACTTCCGTAGGAGAATCCAAACCCCTTAAGAAAGCAGTAACTTTGGAGAAATGGGAATCAGTGGCAAAAGGTACCCCCGTCAGCCCTGTCAGAGGTGAGAGATCGTTGTTGTTTAAGAGGAAAAAGCAGAGCAAAGCGGAGGGCTTAGATATCCAGAACCAAATATCCTCCCTCCTGTACCCTCGCAAGAGAAAAGATCTACAAATCCCGCCGACTGAATCTAAGATGAATGTTACGACCGATGTGGAGAAGGGTGTTGGCGTTGCTAAATTATTTGAATCATCTGCCCAGAATTCAAGCCCTCCTCCATTGCCTATACCATTACAAGAAATGCACTCACAAAGCGAGGCCCTTTTATCTGCTTCAGACCAAGGCATACACCCAGAGAGACAAGGCTTCGTCGATAATTCCCAATGCCTATCCCATCTAGCCAACGTTCAAGCATCTCTTCCAAAAAGTCTACGTTCTCAACGGTACAGGATGTTTATCCACAAAGCGAGATTAATGTGTCGGCTCTCAATCAAGGCATGCATCCAGAGAGACAATTTCTTCTCCAAACCTCCCCTTCGCCAAATGAATCTCCCGAACACTTACATCTACAGGCTGAATCCCGTCTTACCATTTCCTCTCCAAAGATTAAAATTGACACACAAACCCTGCAATCGAAGATCCAAGAACTTCGTCCTTCATCCTCTTTTGGTAAGTTACCAGTATTCGCCGTATTACTTGTTGCACATAGCTAATCCCATGGCACAGACGAGAAACCCAGACCAATTCCTAGCATCATGAATGAGCTATCATTTACCGATGACCCCTTCGAATCAGACCATATGTAAGCACATTCTCGAACGGACAAACGAAAACTGATGGATAGGCTGATATGATATCTGGAAACACAGGCTGTCGAGCCAGTGGTTCCTACTCACTGGCAGGATTAGCCCGTCGACCAAGCAATTCCGATCATACGTCTCTATTGCGTTCCCTATGTACTCAGCGAGCCGATCGAAATATGGATGTTATAATTCTTCTCTTTTCGCACACAAGCGGGCTGTTAAACCAGGGAAATTGGTGTATTTCGCGAATATACAGGAGTCTGGGGTTCTGGTATGGATGTACCGACTTTTACGAAGCTACGAGATACCCTGGGACGGTAAATGCATCTGGTCGGTATATTCAAATTTGCGTTTGTGTTTCTCTCACGAAGTCGTCATCCGACTTCAACTTGACCCCTTTCTAATCGTTCCCATTCTGTTTTTCTCTAATTCATGTTTTCACGTGGGGTCATAATCAGAATTCCTGTCATTCCTTCCATTGGAACTATTTTAATTTGTTTCTCATTCATTCATGTCTTCACCTTAATTTTGTCGTCGAGCCACAGCTACATTGATAGCAATACCATTAATATAAGAAGTGTAACCACATTGGTAGATCAAGATTTAAATAGCTACTACCAATACAGTAGACCCCAAATATGTCCCCCAAGTTTCATGGCTTGACTTCGCTTTGAATACATGCAAAGAATCCCCGGGCCCTTTTCCTACAAGTACATTGTAACACCAAAAGTAACGCCCCTCCCTGTAACAGCTTTAACTCCTACAATGTTTTCTGTAACTCCATATCCTGCATTCCTGACTTGGGTATTTTCTTTAACAAAAGAAATGAAGAACGTGAGATCCGTTCCTGACAATGCCTGATCCAGCATCGATCCTGTCCCATTCCATCCTATTCGTCCTACGACGCATAACCTCATACTCATACTCATAATCATACAAGATTAACCACAAAAGGAAAAGAAATTGAGCACAAAAGGAGAATATCTACTGATATAGTTTAAAATAATGAACCGACGCCCTCCTCTTACTTGCCTTCACGCTTACATTATCGTATCCCCACTTCTTCGAATAGTATATGTGCCACACTATTGCACATTCAAGAATAAATCATTTCCCCGTCTCGTGGGCGTCAATCTCGGTAGCCAACCCGGCGTCTTTGGTAAACCACTGGGATTATCTCCATCGATATTAACAGTGATCGTTTCACCTGATCCATCGTCTTTGGTATATACGACTGATTGACCATTCATATTTGTATCTTTAACTGTACTGATATCTTCGTTCGAAGAATCAAGAGGAGCTTGTCCCTGAGCTTTTATTTCCGACATGGTAGTCATTTGAGTAAGACGTGGATCGAATGTGAAATTGCGTGTTTCTTGGCTGTAGATTGAGGATACTTCGGGGTCCATGGAGGCGTGGATGGGGACGGGGAGTGGTTGGGAGGGATTAGTGTTGGAGGATGAGACGTTGGTGGCGGGTTTGTGTAAGGACTGGACGCTATCTTTTCTTAATATCCCGGTGAGTATTTGTGGCCGCCAGTGTGGAGATACGACGGTTGGTGAGGTTTGTTGGTGGGAAGAAGTAGTGGTGGGGTTGGTAGTGTTAATATTAGTGTTGGTGTCGGGAAGGACTCTCCATTTTTGTGTTGAATCTGGAGAAGTGGCGAGACTTAGAGAAGGCGGCGGGGCGCTTCTTTTACTCCCACTTCCATTGGCAGTTCTTGGACTCATATCCCTCTGTTTAGAAGTTGGTGGTAAGGGTAATGGTATTGGCGGTGGAGGACTTCTTGAAGCTAAATCAGTGGGACTGAAAAAGTCATTACTTTTTCGAATAGTGATGCCAGAGTTGTGAGAGCCTGGCGAGAGAAAGTTTCCGGGTGATAGTCCTAGAGATGCCATGCGCGTTTTCTGAGCGGCGATCTCGGCTTCTTGCCATGGTTTATTACTATATGCTGTAGGGGGACGGATGGGTGACTCGATAGATATTGGCGGTGGTGCGGGGAAATTTGTTACGATCGATGTGCGGGTACGAGTACGAGAATGGCGTTTGCTTGGGTTTCCCTTGATTTTGGGGTATTTGACTGGTGATTTACCGATGACGTTTGATTTGTCAGTGGGTGATTCGACGACAGGGCTGAGATTGGTGTCGCCAGAAAGCTCTTGGGGCTCAGGATTGATAGAATCCATGGTTTCGAAGGATGTCATAGACCCTATCGAAGCTCTAGAGGTACGATTTTGATCATATGGTCCTACGGGATTGTATGCGGATTTCCCTAGCACGCGGCGAAATGAGGGGTTAGATTGCATGAGTGAGTTTAGCTTCTCGACTTCATTTGAAGAGGGTCGACGGTTGTGAGATTTTGCCGAGTACACAGATGAGGTTGCTCTAAGAGGATCTTTGGCAGATGGATTGCGTTGAACAGAAGGTTTCATTGCATTTTCGGGCCGACGCGGTTGTGAAAAGTTTCTTTGGAGATTAAGGGGGCGTACGTAGAAGTCAGGCTCTACTGAAGGATCCTTGTAGGAATCGATAATATGCTCTGTTTCATTTGGCGAGAGCTCACCTTGGAGACGAGGTGATTGATAATATGCGGGATCAGGCTTTCGGAGAACCTTGTCTTTTGATATGGACCCATAGGAGGCCGCATTCCATGGTGCTTCGGATGCTACAGCTGTGCTGCATGAATCTTCATCTTCGAATTGTGTATCCATAGATTGCCGATTGTTGCCCGTGAATTTTGATGGTTGCTGGTAGGCAGCAGTGTGGATCTCGTTGGGCTTTCGCTGGAAAGGAACCTGCAGGGTGAGAGCTGGTCTTTCGGGCAAAAGTGGAGACGGGCCACGTTGGAATACTTCTTCGGTGTAACCCATAGGGGTTAGCAAATTGTTTTGGGGGCTCTCGGAAGTCATGGCAAGACCGATATTCTCTGGACTAGCGTTCCTTTGAGAGAAAGGATCGGGGCTTAGCTGGCCCCCCCTCGGAGGCATTCGAGCCCCCAAAAATGGACCTATTGGTGTTGGTCCTCGGGTTGAAATGGAAGCTGGTGATGGCGCCATTGGCTTCGTAATACCGAAGTGAGATTGTGATTTGATGCTCAAAGAAGGCTCTTGCTGGAATGGGAGATATCCACTATCTCGATTTGCTTGCCTTTTCCGCCTCATACAGGCACATAGCAATATAGCTCCAACTACCAAAACGACACCACCAACTCCTGCTACCACAATTCCAGCTATTTGCGCAGTCGATAGTACTGGCTTACTCTTCTCCGGTGATGAATAGGCACTCGTGGCAGCTGCCGGTTGTGTCACCCCTGTCGATGATTTTGGACTCGTGGTTGAACTTGGAGTAGCTGTAGCGGTAGCTGTAGCTGTAGGTACAGTTGTGAGTAAAGTTGTAGCTACAGAATCACTAGCACTTGTCGTTGCCACTGGAGCAATTTGGACGATACTTGCGGAGCCTGATTGTAAAACGAGAGTTGCTGTAAGGGTGCTATGTGTGTTTGGCAGTGCATTCTTGTCGGAATTACACATATTGTATGCTTTTAGTACTGTATCATCTGCAGGACAAATTAGAAACCTCGGTCGAGCAAACTTCGACAATGACTTACTAGAGGAGTCATCTCCATTACAGAAGCCCACGCTTGCTTCTGACATTATACATTGTACTGCCCCCTCTCCCACCGTGTATGTAGACTTGCTACCATTTTCACATAAGCAGTCAAACGTAGGTGTGTCGCCACAAACATTTGTTGGATAGTTGTCTTGTACGAAGGACTCAAAGCAAACTTGAGCGCACGAAGGAACAAAACTTTTTACTTGAGATGGCAAAGAAAATTCAGCATTAACACAAGTCGAGAATGCGTATATGAGTATGAAGAGGCTCAATGGTAACATTGCCATTCTGGGAAACACTGTAGGAATGGGGATGTCAGCATTGTTTGTGTATATACATTTTCCAAATTGTTCTGAGCATTTTGAAACTTCATGATGCTTGTGATGATAGAAGAGTTGAGGTCATAGTTCTTCGAGTCACTCAAACTGTTGGACACCAAAGCTCTAAGTCATGGTCTCGATTCAGGTGGCATATGTATGAGAAGTAAAAGAACCAGAAATAGATTCTACTGACCTCGAAGATGGAAACAAATCACTTTCCGAGTCGTCCAGCGTCTCATACATCATTATAACACGAATCTAAGATAAACTTCAAAGAAACTCATGGCACTGATGATACTGATCGAAGAAATGAAATAGAAAAAATCGAGGAAAAAACTCGACGGTAAGGAAATACGTGAGAAAACTGAAGGAAAAAAAGAAACAATGATGTAGAAAGTTTCCATCAAGAGAAATCAGCGATATGCTCACGCAACACCAGACGACCCCCGCAATGTTACCTTGAAAACCAATAGAGTCTCTCCAACAGCCGGCTCATGGGCCATATACATGGCGTCACATTTCTTCAGGTACGATGTGTGAGACTGCATGATACTACCGCTGGACTCAAGATACATAGCCGCTGCCATAATAGTTGACCCCATGTTTGATGTGATGATAAGCCTCGTTACCTGTATGGTGGTGGTTGTCTAGCTCTGCAAGTAAGCGCTGAAGAAATTAACCCTGGCGGTTACAAGGTTAATTTCCCACGTGACCTGACGTAGACCGGATCGAAACCGATGATTGTAATTGTGGGTAGGTAGGTGTGTACAGCAGAAACATGTTCGTTCCATTGTCGTCTCTGATCTCTATACCTTTTCATCGATATGAGTGGATCTCTTTCAAGAAAGGAAGTAAGCAGATCAATATTTCACCGGAGACAATAACATTTCGCATCCGAGATAGTTGCTACGCCTGCCTCGAGGCCGTTTGCTATATATAATCATCAAAATTATACCGAACTACTTTACCCACTTAGGTTATGACTGGAGACCCCAACGCAGACCTGCCTAGTCTCAGTTCATAATAGGTTGGTAGGATGTAGCTACCGAATGTCATGGAAAACGTCCAACAATTTCACGTTCGATTATTCGAATCATTATTCGAGCCTGAGATAGAGACACAACGTTAGTGACATTGAATGTTCAACGATTCATTGCATTTATTATACGTGTCAAATTTTGATCATCTCTAAGTTGGTTCGAGTTTGTCTTCACTGCGTTCTAGATCCATTTTATTGCAGCTATTTTTGTTCATGAAATCATTCATTATGGTCATTTCCTCGTGATCCATCCACGATTAGATTTTAAAAGCATGTTTCGCGGCTGTGTATGCAACCCAGAATAACCCCGCTGTAGCGAATCCATTGTTGAAAAATATCCTCGTAAGCAATTTGAGCCTCCCCTTTCAACATGAGCTTATGCATATGTGCAAACGCCTGCTTTTTCTCCCAATATTGTGCAAAGTGAATTTCAAAAAAAAAAGATGTGGATAATTCAGGGATTCATATGAAAGCTCAACTTGAAAAGAACTAAGACTGTAAATTGGTACCAGCACGGCTTGACTTAATGACCTTCTTCACAATCTCTTCCGTTTCATCCCAATCATCTTGGTTGAGCTTGATAAGATCAATATTATAATGATTTGCGATTTGGTTGAGTGCATCATAACTCTTTCTGTCGAAGACAAAGCTGATACTGACACCGACACGTCCGAATCTTCCGGTTCGACCGATACGGTGAAGGTAGGTTTCCGGGTCTGGCTCTGAATCTGATCGGCCCTTCATAGGGACGTCATAGTTGATGACCATAGAGACAGATTGAACATCGATACCTCGGGCAAGAACATTTGTAGTGATGAGAACCTTGGCCTTCCCTTGACGGAAATCTTCAAGTACTTGGTCACGTTCTGAACCTTCAAAAGCACCATGAACCGCAACAACCTTGTGTCCTTCCTTTGTCAAACGTTCAGCAATGTTACTGGCTGTATCTCTTCGCTGTAATCTTGGTTAGTATCATTATCGAGAAATTACATTCAGCATCAAATACCTTGACAAAAATGATCGAGGAACCGATTGTCATTAAACCATAAAGCTTGACCAGAATCTCATATTTCCCGATCTCGTTGGGACAATCCATGAACATCTGCTTAATTCCAGACACAGTAAGTTCATCGCGCTTCAACTTAATCTCGTTTGCACGAGGCGAAAAATCCTGAGCAAAGCCGTAGACCTCATCGGGAAAAGTCGCGGAAAAGAGTAGGATCTGCTCGACTCGAATCATCCTAAAACAGATTAGGATACGTCACTCAAACTTCGAAAAGACCAAACTTACGATTTGACTCGCATGCACTGATCTCCAAGACCTTGCTGATCCAACATGTTGTCTGCCTCATCCAAACATAGTATTTTCATCTGAGATGCGTCGATCGATCTTCTCTTGATCAAGTCCATTACTGTACCAGGTGTCCCTACAATAACCATTGCATTTACTTTGGTATTTCGCTCCACCGCACCTGGAATGGCTGCTTGTACAGTCAAGCCATCAACAAATTGCCCAATGCTTCTGATGACGCCCTCGATTTGGCGGGCAAGTTCGCGACTTGGTGCTAAACATAATGCTTGGGGAGTAGTTGGCTTCGAAAAGTCGAGACGTGATAAAATAGTGATAACGAACGCAGCAGTCTTTCCTGTGCCTGATTGTGACTGCGCAATCATATTTGTTGGTGGGTTGCGAAGTAAGAGTGGAAGGGCTTTTTCTTGGATCTTGGAAGGCTTTTTGAAATTCATCGCATAAAGACCTTTGAGAATTGAGGCATCACTAGTAGGATAGATCAGCTCAGACTCTGCAAAAGTGAAGCTCACACTTACATTCCCAACTGCTCAAAAGTCTCTACAGAATACAAGGGACTTGTTTGATCGCCTTGAATATCGCTGAGTTTAACCTCGACCTCATATTGGCCGTCCTGGAGAGTACCACCTCCCAAAGGCTCAGTAGCACCATCAAGTTGCGCCTCCTCCAAAGGGTTTCCCTCATTTTTTTCAGTAGTGGGTGATGCAACCTCATCTGCCCAAGATGTGCTCTTGGATTCAGACATTTTAGAATATTGTGTTGGTGTAATAGATTGAAATGCTGGGAATATGATGTTTCTTCTTTAAGAATGATTTCGGTGCGGGGGAGGGGTAAACTGTTTTGTTCTGAAGATGTTTGATTGATTTGTTGTGAAGGATTGCCTAGTAGAGATATTGAGATATTGGGAAGACGATAAGGGTTGAACTAACTTATAAACGCCTAGTGCATACTGAGATGTGTTAATCTACACGTGATTCAAGATCAAACCTCCAACAGCAAATCGTGCGAGCAAACAGCCACACGTACACAGCCTTACAGCCACAATTGATCACCTCCTACCTTTCCTAGTTGGGTACGTTCGCTGCTTTAGAAAACGTTTAGGTCACCCCCGTGTGTTCCGCCCGAATCTGATAATCTCCCAATCTGCCCAGCCAGCCCAACTAATAATAATAATAATAATCATAATAATAATAAAGGTACCTACCTGGATATTATTAAATGCTCCGTAATTTGGCGGGGCATTTATGCGTACGAGTTATTCATTACGGTTATTGTCCTGATGACATATGTCCAAGATCCAACCTTTATGTTCATTCTCTCATTCTTTGCTTCTCTAATCTAACATGAATCTTTTCCCTCTTTCACGTTGTCCATGATACTTAGATTACTGACATATTATTGCGGTACAAATCATGGCGGAGGTTGACATTGCTCCCCAATTCGGCCTTGAGTTGAAGGTTAGTAGACACGCATGTTCGCATGCTTTCTAGGCCAATGCCTTTTCTGACTTTTGGCGCTTTCACAGGATGGATTCAAATCGGCAAATGCTTGGGTAACCAACGGTATCAACTGGATAGGCAGCGACATAGAAGGATTCTATCGCGAAAGGAGCGTCATTGAGAAGGAATACAGCGCAAAGCTTGCGGCTTTAGCTAAGAAGTATTATGAGAAGAAGACGAAGAAGTCGAGCAGTTTAAGTGTCGGCGACACACCTGTTATGACCCCTGGGTCACTAGAGAGGTTTGAGATGCTATACCTAGAAATCGGCGTGCAACTGTTAACCAACCGCATGTAGTGCATCACTAACAACATGGACTACACAACTCACCACTCTCGAATCTCGCGCAGCGGAACACGATCGCTTTGGAGGGGAATTGATAACGCAAGTGGCAGAACCACTGAAGGTACTTGGAGGACGTTACGACGAGATAAGGAAACGCCACGTTGAATATGCGGATAAATTGGAAAAGGAGAGAGATGCTACGTATGCGGATCTTCGCAAGATGAAAGGGAAATATGATGCTGCATGTCAGGAAGTCGAAAACAAACGTAAGAAGGCGGAATCTTCATTTGATTATTCAAAGACAAAAGCACAAAACGCATACCAACAACAGATCCTCGAGATGCACAACGTTAAGAACAGCTACTTGATCGCCATAAATGTGACGAATAAACAAAAGGAGAAATACTATCATGAGTATATTCCGGATCTTCTCGACAGCTTACAAGACCTTTACGAATCGCGCACAATTAAACTCAATGCTATATGGTCGCTAGCGGCGCAATTAGAAAAGGGGATGCTGGAACGTAGCACAGAGTTTGTCAATCACGTATTGGTTGAGATTCCAAGAAATCAGCCTTCTTTAGATTGCATGATGTTTGTCAGACATAACGTAGGAACTTGGCAAGAGCCTCCGGATAAGCCATTTGAACCAAGTCCTGTGTGGCACGACGATGATGCGATGATGGTGGGAGATACTGCTAAGGTCTTTCTTCGAAACGTTCTTAGTAAATCTAAAAATCAACTTGGGGATTTGAGAAGAGAAGTGGATTTGAAACGACGAGAAGTTGAGAGCACGAAACGTGTAAAGCAGCAAATCAGAGAGGGTAAAGATAAGAGGGACGAAGTTGAAGTTGTTAGAGCCATTTTTGCTTTACAAGAAGAACTACATCAGGTTGATCACAAGAGGCTGACTGCAGAGGTTGAAACATCAACAATTACGGAAGCTGTGGGAGATGTTACGTTAGGCTCGAAGAGTCACAACTTCAAATCTCAAACCTTCAAAATACCCACTAACTGCGATTTGTGCGGTGAACGTATTTGGGGACTTTCAGCGAAGGGTTTTGATTGTAGAGATTGTGGTTATACGTGTCACAGCAAATGTGAGATGAAGGTTCCAGCTGAGTGTCCAGGAGAGCAGACCAAAGACGAGAAGAAGAAACTGAAAGCAGAACGTCAAGAAGCGGCCAATGCGGTTAAAGCTCCAGGTACAGGTCTTGCAGATAGTGTTGCGGAACTTCCAACCATGAGTCGATCTAATACTATGAATTCGTTAAGTTCAGGTTATGCTGCTAGTGCACATAGATCCATCTCGGCAAAATCTCCAACCGAGGAATCACCCCCAGATGCGGCGATTGATCGAAGGAGAAGCATTTCTTCGAGTCTTAAGCCCGGCGGACTTTTGAAGAAAAACAGAGTTGTGGCTCCTCCTCCGACAGCATATGTTAGCGAATTACCAGGTAGCAGTGTAGCTGATGGATCGGCATCAAAAGAACCGAGAGGGAAAATGTTATATGCGTATGACGCTAATGGTGCCGAAGAAGTCACAGTTAGCGAAGGCGAAGAAATTACAATACTGGAACCAGATGGTTAGTGGCCCCGCTACTATTTCTCGAACTAGTTACTAACCAATGCTAGATGGCGGCTGGACCAAAATCAAGCATGGCTCCAAGGAAGGTCTAGTCCCTACCGCCTACCTCGAAGTTCTACCTCCTTCTTCCCCTCCAAACACTACAAATAGACCCGTGTCTATAATCTCTAACTCTGGTTCCTCCATCTCCACTGGTAAAAAACAGGGCCCAGTTGTGGCACCAAAAAGAGGAGCCAAAAAGTTGAAATATGTAGAAGCGCTTTATGAGTATACGGCGCGGACTGATGCGGAACATAATATGGTGGAAGGCGAGCGCTTTGTTCTTATTAAGGATGATCCTGGAGATGGATGGATGGAGGTTGAGAAAGGGGGGCATATCAAGAGTGTACCGGCAAATTATGTACAGATTGTTTAGATAAGTTGGGTGGGATTTGTTGCTTGAAATCGGCATGGGATAGCATGGAATGGCAAGGGATCGGTGTGAATTTTAAATGGCAGACTGCAGATTCAGGACTGTGGATGATACGTCCTCAAGGTAGAGCGGAAGATAAAAGCAATTCTGAATTTGTGAAACAACAGACAGATGTGGGAGTGGAAGCGAGCGTTATTGAATCCTATGAATTTTACCTACCTACTTAGAGCCTAGTAAATACCTACTTGTATAGGAATGCAGATTTATCAAACCTCATTCCCATTATGGGTGCCGATATTTAGTATCACAGGTGTTGCGTTGCCAGGAGTGTTGTAGTACAATACGACAAGCTTGGGAGGCAAAATCTGTCTGAGCGCTAAAGATTACCAGTTCAAGATAGGTACCTAGTGATAACCGCTCATTAGATCAGGAGGCGAGGGGATCGAGTGATAATGATAAGATAAGAAACTGTGTAATCGGAGAATTTGTTGTCGTGCATCGGTACCAGTGTACAGGAGAGGGCGGCGGGGCAAGAGAGGAGATAATTACGCGAGATTGATTACGCGAATTTTCCTGTCTGACAAGCTACGATCGGAGGACTAAGGAATCGAAGAATACTTGAATTTATATTTAAATCTATAATTGGAGGAGAGTTATCGTAAGTTTGGAAATTCTTGAAGTAATTGTTGTTTCACATGGGAGTATAGTCTGATGATAGTCGTTTGGTTGTGTGAAGTAGATTGGGTGATCAAAAGGAGAATGTTTGTTTGGATACGTGGAACAGGTTGAGAATTCATTTCATGTACGGTTATACTGTCGTCTAATATTTTTCATGATTCGACCAGATGAGAAATGCTGACCTGGAGAAATGATAGAATCCTGTGGGAATACTGTGTACATTACGGTGTAGTCTCTAGGAATTGTAACATCAACCAGAAAGTGGCAGAGATTCAACCGGCGGAGATGGTGACGAGAAACCACAAAAGCAAGAGTCCGAGATTGGCGGAGATGAGACTAGCGAGTCTCAAACAGAAGACACCAAGGATATAAGAAGAGTGATGAAACTACGAAGGATGGTACTGCCGATGAGAAGGAAGATGCAGATTCATTCAAGTTCATTAAGCTGAAAAGGCAGAGGTCTAAGGCCCAGGAGCTTCCGGTTGATCTAATATGAGGGAAAATTTCATTGACTGATGAATTGATTCGGACTACAGAGATTTGTACTTTTTATCGAATTTGAATATATTACAAACATTCTTGTCCAGCCCACTAGCCCCATGATATATGATTCCAGACTGTTCAGTTTCAAATAGAGTACAAAATTCTTCTATAGGTTTGATCATAAAGCTTATGACTTAAGCGCTACATTGGAACGCAGCACTATACAAGTAGCGGTGAGAGGGTTTCAGAGCGCAGTTCACAACATCGAAAATCTGCCTGAGTTTCAAATCACATCAAATGACCCAAGCTCAAGCAAGCTGACAATTTATTATAGTGAATTTGGTTGGCTAAAGCTCCGAGCATATAATCGAAAGCATCGAAGAGGTGTAGCGAGAGGGGGTTAGTTTGCAATCACGTGATACAAATAACACAATTAGCGCCTAGTTTATCAATACAAGGATCTTTAGAATTCTACCTTATAGGTATCCATAGATTTATCGAGGGCGTTAGTCTCACAGCAATGCTCATGCAAGAATTGCTTTTTCTTTTACACTGAGTAGTTCAACTATCTAGATATAATGTATAATATTCTAATATGTTTGATAAGATAAGTATCTATAATCTAAAGCTACCTAGGTACTTGGATTCGTTTTCTTTAATCTTAGGTATGATTTGATTATCTTAAAAACAGAAAATACTTAAAGTAGGTAGGTGTCTAGGCGACTCGCATGTGCGTAACCAGATAGCCGCTCTGTATTGTGGCTATAGTCAGCAATAACATATAGGTAGAACGCTGATAAAGAGGTTGCCTGACAATCGAAAATGACAATTGTTATTACAGGGACTAGGTATCTGTCGGCGCAGTTTTTACATTTAAATAGCAGATTGAGTGCCACATATATTTTCCCCATTTTATTCAGCAACAATTAACATTTTAATACAATCATCGAAAAGCCATCACAAGCTATTCAATTTCAGCATGAACCTCTTCATTTCTTCTCAGCAGTTCGATCAGTTTAGAACGCTCATTACCATAATATTATCTTCGGATGCAAGAAGTACTCTTCAAAGGCATCCCAAGTCAAAACGACACTTATCGCCAGGGGAAACCCCCAAGAATCTAGAAGCCTTCTCCAAAACCCAATCCAAGGGAAGAGAAAGGCACACAGACAACTTAAGAGACAAACTTAAGTATGGTCCAGATATGACAAAGACTAAATTCAGAAACGAGCATACATCTGTAAAAACGCGACCCAGAATCGCGGATCTTAACAAGAAAAATATGAAAGTCCTAGGTGCATCTTTGGAAGATGATAACAAATAAATGATGAGGATTGACGAGGAGCTCAGACGAAGTTTCGATGAAGTACTACTCAAATCATCACAGATAAAGTCAAACTTAGAACGGCAGATTTTGACAACAGAGGAGCTGTTGTCTTTGAAATGGGAGCCAGAGACGAGCTCTGGTGATCTCCATAGTGATCTGTTAAGTTATAAACAGCAACTTGATATTACTCAAAAGAATCTCAAGAAATTCAGAGATATTAAATCGACTATAGCCCCCTGAAGTGCTCAGGGACTATAAAAGTTAGTATTGTATTTGTTTTTATGTTACATTTAGATTGCTATAGCGTTTGCTTTATGGATTAATTTTTTAATTTTGTTTATTGTTTACATCGCTTGTTCTCATAGTCCAATTACTTCTCCTCACGATTGGATTTACTTGTAATTACTCAACTCATGTATCAGCTCAAGGACCTCAGGCTCAGAATTTTACTTGATGAAAAAGCAGTATATTACACTACAATCGATTACAATATACTAGATACTCCAAGAGAATAGACGCAATGAGATGCATACCTCAATCAATATTGATTTAGAAATAAGCAAATGTATGAAAACAAAAACAGAATCCCGAAAAATTTGTGCAAATTCTCCCACGTGATGAAAAAATAGTTGTTTGACAGAATCAGACGAGAAGATGCTGCCGGACTGACATGTGAAGTAGTAGGTTCCTAGCTCTAGAGAAACCCTTTGAAAGTTGATAGATAGATGAACATTGCTAGTACTGAAAGTGAAATATCCTGAGACGGACAAAAGATAACCCCTCGATTAATCCTGGGCATGGCCGTTTTCTTCTTGGAAACTTTAGACGAGAAACTCCCTCTTACTTAAATTCGCCGAGGATCAGCAGGAGATTTATGTGTGCAATGAATCGAAAGATAACATTTTCGTAAGATTGCCAACTGACATTACGTCTATGCTCATCATGTGGCCATGTATCATGCAATCTCTATCTTGAGCCTCCTTAGTCTGCATTAATCAAAAAGTTCAAGACCGTTGCGCAAGATAGCCTGGGTCTCGTCTGGTAGCAGATTAATAAGTATGTAATCATCTACCGTTTCCCATGTAATTGTGTGGTAGTTGAATAAGTGCTCCTTCGTTTCGCGCAAGTCATCAGCTTCATACATCATCGCAAGAGTTTCGATAAGTCCGTCCGGTATGGCTTCACCGGGGAAAAATCTCTGGTATCCAGGGTCGAGCATCAACAATTTTCTGCTCAGCAAGAACTGTGGACCTTCCATTCCTACAGTGTCAAAATCAGCTATACTCTGCTCTATGATTCTAGAAGGTCGGATTGAATTGAGTGATGTCTCAAGTATGATGCAGCTTGCTTGCTCGAATATTTCATTTATCTCGAGATTTTTATAACCCGCATCGTGTAGTATTGATCTCAACAATACCACTCCACCTATATCTCTATATCTTGAGTATAGCGTCACACCATACGGTATACGTTTGCACTGACTCGCTTGATTGAGTTTCATACCAGCTTTCAAGCATTGAATAATTCTTTCCCTGACCCTCGGATAAAGATGGTCGTGTTCCTTGCTCAATATGATGAAAGAATTCAAGATATCAATGCAATAGGATTCCAAGGTTGAGTCCTTAAATTTGAAGGACTGAAGAACTTTCTGGATATACAGGCCTTGAGGGTCGTGAAAAAGGGCCCACGGAGGCTCTTCAAGAAGACACCAAGATAATTGTTTTGACGACTCTAACTCATCTTTCATGGACTTTATAGCTGTCAATGGCCAGATCTCTTGGGTTTGAACACAAGGAATGAATTGAGCAACCATTGAGTACCAAAGACCATCCTGAAGTCGGGCTTCTAGGAACCCACCGTGATCAAATGGGTCATGAATCGATTTACTAAGAATGAGCCTTATAAGTTGTTCGAGATAAGAAATTATCAGGGGGTGGCACCCAAATAGTTTGTGTATAACTCGCCAGAACCACGGTGTGAATTCTGTCCCATTATTTGGCGTAGAATCACTTAGGTCTGCTCCTGCTTCTATCAAGTACTCCATAACCCTGAAAAGCTTACTGAGGCGGACGACGGTTTCAGAAATGCGATATGCGTAGGTGTTTTCGTTGAATATGGAGATGGTATAATAACATCTCTCCCAAACATGGAACAGTAGTGAGGACATGGTTCATCTCTCGCCGTTTAATGTCATATCATGAATAGTAGCTTTTCCCTCCGCAAATAATCTACGCACCATGGATAAGTCACCCATACGACAAGCTTTGGCAATTGGAGCATCCAATGGGACGTTATTATAGCATCTTAATCGCATATCAGAACATCCAAAAATTGAACCCCTCCTTTGCTGATCGATAAACACAAGATACCGGGCTTGTATAAGATAATTGGGACGAATATCAATCTTGTGGGTAGTTTTTGAGGTTATTAAGGGCTCTTCTAAATCGCTCGTATAGTCGCAAAATCTTTGTTGTAAGATTGTCGTTGTTGATCGAATAATTATTGCCGCCAGCCAAGCATTAATTGTGCTTTTCGTAGTAGTTTGTTGAACAACCCTAGGATTGCTAAGCCCATTTAAGACGCTGTCACCACAATCCCTGGTTGCCGGCAACTGTTCGTTTTTTCTAAGCAAGTGCTTTCTCACGTTTTTCAGCTCCAATATCAGATCGATTGTTGAGATTGAAGTCTTTTAGAGCCACGTTGACACTGTTCTTGACCATTTGCGCCAAAATTGGGTCAAGTCCAGCATAAACACCTTCATGAATGGCATATGTGACATCTTCGTAGGTCCGATCGCTAATAAGAACTTCTTTTCTGTTCGAAGCTTGGGTGGTTTGTGTAGTTATTATGGTTGTCGAGGCACTGGGCGTAGATTGTGTGGTGGCAGCTGCAAGTACCATTTGTTGTATGTCTGTGATAACAATACTAAACACCGTAAGCAGCTATCCTTCTTTGGGAGGATGAAGTGTTGTCATACAGATTCAATCTGGATTGTATGCCAATAATATCGATCTTCGCCTGGTGGAGTCTGCTGGCATATTTGGTGAATACATTCTTCTTTTTGGCGAATCTAAAGCCTTTCCACCAATCATTCCTCCCATTACGCTTATATTTATTGACAAATTCTTGAAGTTCTTTGACAGTAAGCCCACTTAGCTCCAGGGCTAGTTTGATCTCGTCTTCTGATTCTGATATGTCTGTGGACTGCTTCATCTTTTCAAGGGTACATTGAAAGTTTCGAAGCCCTTTCTCGAAACATTTCAGCTGCTCAAGTATGTATAGTATCTCTTTCGGTGCGCCATTAATGTCATCGAAACAGTCGCAAATAAACCGACAGCCTTGAAGAATTTGGCCTGTCAGTCCAATGAAGCTTATAACCGACGCACCAAGGCTGACGGCAGCAACAGCAGCCTCGGCCATTATCAAGTTCAATGTTCGTTAACAATCAATCAAATGGATATATATCAAAAGGTTCAAGTCAGTAGAATCTCGAATGCTCAAAAGCCAGATCAATTATTAAACACGCATAATGTTGAAGAGAGCTTGGGAAGATGATAATAAGTGTTTCAACAGTGGCAGTGCTATCTTTTCGTACAACTCGAGTGCAGTCAACCGCAATGCATGAGAATGATTGGTAGTCTCTCAAAAACTGTGTACCATAGCAGAGACACATGATAAACCTAAGCAGCCGCAGCAACTACTTCTTTCCAGCTGTCTCTAGCTTGAATTTCTTCCCACCACTTGTTCACATGAGGATACTTTGCGAGTAGGTCTTGAAATCCATACTTCAATGCCTGTGTACCGTGTGGTAAATGGTACAAATCAGCCAAGGTGAATTCATCTCCCGCAAGATACTTCTGCTTCGAGAGGATCTGGTCGTAGACAGCGAGATTGTTGTCAAGTGTTTGGAGATGTTTTTGAACTAATTCCGGGCTAGTGGCACCCCATCCTCTGGCACTGTTATTTTGTCAGTATTGTTTTGGTGTAAAATGCGACGTGAGAACTTACGGTTTGATGAAGTTTTCGAACCAGAGACCGAAGGTTTCGGTATCAAAGTAAGCCTGTTCCATTGAGCAAGCCTAGCGGAGTATTAGTTTACTTTATTGGAAAAACATTGACTGGAGACTTACTTGTTCAAATAAACCATAGCCTTTTACATCCCCTTCTGCGGGGATGAGTTTAGTACCCTTGTCGGCATGCTTTCGAGCAAGGTACTTGCAGATAGCCCTGCTCTCGTAGATCAAGAAACCGTCATCGTCGAGGACGGGAACCTTTCCAAAAGGCTGCTTCTCAAGATGCGAAGGTGACTTCTGCTCTCCTGTCATAAGGTTGACAAGAATGAACTCGCAGTCAATGCCTTTCTCGGCGAGTGTAGTGAGTACTCGCTGAGTGCAAGTTGCTTGACGCATACCGTAGAGTTTGAGACCCATTTTGTGAGGTGATTTGTTTTAAAGAGATTGATGTTTGAGATGCGAGAATTGAATTCTGTTGATATTGATGATACTTGAGTGATTTCTGAGTGTTTGAATGAACACTTGCTCAAGGCGACTGGCCTCCTTATATAGTCGTGGCTGCTACCATGAGGTATTGTGTATGATACTTCCCCTGACCTCGTTAAAGTAATTATGAACAAGTTCCGAAGAAGTTATGCACACGGAGCCGGTATTTTGACGATCCGAGCATGAATTTATGCATGCTCATCACTGTGAAGTCTTTCGGTTTGACAAATCACTTAATTCCTTTTTTGACAAACTGTCTATAATGAATGGTATGTGAAGGATGAGAAGGGTGAGATTCAAGATCAATTATCAAGCAAAGCGGCTTCAATTCCATAAATATGGGGTGATTACGGAGCACATCGTGAGTATCGCCTTAAGCGGTTGGCGTGTATTAATTAGTTGGTCATCGTAAGGCGGAACGTTAGCTCACTGGGTAAGCAATGGGGGTAGCGAAAAGTAAGCAGTGTACGGAGCAGAGCATAAATTGATTTCCTTCGGATTCGGAGTACAAAGCTTGATCTTCATGCATCATGAATAACCATAATGCATGGCTGAAAGCTCACTGAGAATGATCCAGTGCTTTACTTTACTGGATATGAAGGGACTCACAACTGCTCGTACTATTCCCCTTCGAGCAAGTTTTCTTCTGCCTCTAGCATAGTATGGGAGCCCATTCGATCTGTTTTCAATTTCATAATGAGCAGATATCCGGAGAAAGAACAGACGCGCGAACCAAACTGAATAACTACCAACGCCCATACTGATTTCGTTCTAAGAGGCGCATTTTTATACATATATAAAAACTTTCGTTTCGGTAGAATTGTCTACCAAATCAAATTCCCGAGATCTATTACCCTGGCTCGCTGTTAGATCGAAAACGGAACTCCAGAGGCAGCAGAAGTTTCAGCAGCCACAGCTGTCATGATTGTTTTGGGCACCACACTATCGTTGCCTAAGGTAAAGCAAACCTTGAAATCGGTCGCACAAGTAGGCACTTTGGTCTTGATCTCCGATCCTAAATTCGAAAGTGACAAACTCGAGTCCTCTTAGTTTCTTAAAGCATGTGCAACAATTTCGTCCGTCCCGAAGACTATGGAGAAATGCTTTTCTATGGCCCTTGGTACCAGCGCCTCGAGAGTCCTATTGTCGATGCAAATATCAGAGCTATTGGTAAGAGAAGACTCGAAACTGGAGTTGTTGGTATATATTGTGACTTATTTCGCAAACTTCGAGAATGGGTAAGCAAGTGAACACCCATTGAGAAAGCCATCTCGCTTACAGACAGAATAGCTGCGAGAGATAGTACAGAAGGCAGTGATAGTTAGCTATGGAGGATCTTATCTCAAAGGTGATGCTTCAGTCGGATGTATGGCTTAGTCATGTTTCAAAAGAACCAACAATCTATAGAGTCCTGTGACTTAAGAATTGCAACCAAAATCTAGAGATTACCTCGTCGTAGCCGCTGGCCACTTCTGGGGTACGCTAGTCTTACTTCAACGATAAGTATCACCTATGTTGTCAAGCACTTTCTCTGTAGCAGTTGGCTATTTTCTAACCTCGACAAAATTCGCTTATTCGGCGATCAACATCTACGTTAGAATAGCTGAGATGTCGTATTTGAAATTTAATCGTTTGTATGAGTAACAGCGTGATGAGAGCGGAATGATAATTTCCGTCGGTAGTGATCGTTTTGAGTTGCGCCGATCATCTCATATATCGCACTCGCCTTTTTGGTTATGGAATGTAGCTTGAACAGCTGCACACATTGTGATCACGTGTGTAAATGGAGACAGTAATTGTTTTTGGTCTTCAAGCCTTGTGTATTATTCACTTGATTGACTTCGATGAGATGGCCGGAGTCTAGTTGGACGCGAACGTCGATTGATGGCAAGAGTTCTGGAGAACAACCAATCAATGTCATTTGACATTCAACCGATTTGATGCAATGCCGCACAATGCTTGGTAGGTGCAGCATATCTGAAGGAGAAGGGATGGATTTGTGACGAGCAGAATACTTGGCGCTTCCAGTTCACTGGGGATGGGAATAGGGATCGGGGCAAAGAGCGCAGAGGTGCCACGATTATTATCAAAAGGTCTTCCAAGTTTCTGTGTTATCCATTAAACATTAATACAGGCTTTTAAATCACGTCTATGTTTCACACTTTAGCAAGGAAGCTGATATACTTGCATTGAATGGAGAAAAATGATGCACTGGAAGATTTCACTAATTCAATTGCAGTGTCTAACAATAGTACTTATATTTGATATTCTGGTATTTGCTCTGGCGCGTTGTTTGCTTGATCCTGTAAGCAAGATATTACTAGAAATTCCGATATTGGCAACTTCGTTACACTGGACATTCTAAGACGTCGAGTTAAAAATGTCATGAGCTCTAGTTTGATCTACACAATTCATACTAATTATCTACTTTCCGCAACCTTACCTCACTCTTATATCCCGATGCAAATGTAATACTCCAACCAAAGTATCTTACAAGCAGTCCCGGTATTTGGATTCTACTTCTTCGAATCAGCAGCTGTGATGCCATTCAATTTCTCAATACTCTCGTGTGAATTCTCACTAGCGGCCATGTGCCGTTTCTGACACCCACATATGACTGTCGGCCGAGTTAATGTTGGGGTCGGATAATTACATGCTGTCGTCTGAGTTGCTGTCGTCGATGTGATAGTGCTGAATTTGATTGTTGATGTCCCGGGTATACTTGTGTTTGCAATTCATCATTCAATGTCTAACTCACAGCCCCACAGTAGCATCTGTCTCATAGTAGAGACTCAAAAACAATCTACTACAGTAGTAGATAAACACAAATACGACATAACAATACAATACCAATACCCAGCTAGAGCCCCGCACAACTATACCTCACACTCGGATTCTACGCCAAGAACCCCCCGAAACTAAAAGTCCTATACATCCTCACAATCCCCTCACAATCGTCCCTACCAGCTGCCAAATGTCGCCTCGAACAGATGCCCATAACCCCCGATGGCGTCTGCGTCGGCCCCAATTCGCTCATACTCGTGCTAGTACTACTAGTGCTAGTACTAGTGCTAGTTGGCCTCACAGTCGGCGTCCCAGACACCTGACAAAATACCAAGTCGAAGCTTACATTCCCGTATACGTACCACCCCACCACGGTACTCCAGGCAAGAAGACCGACGAAGGTAAAGGTGACATACTTGGCGACGATGAGGAAGCTGTCATCTCCGGAAATGGGTAGTAGAATGACGCAGGCTTCAATGAGGCCAGGCTGTGTGGGCGAGGACTTAGGGGTACTGGTTATGGCTGGGATAGGGGTAGACCCCACACTTTTCCGAAAATTAATGACAATAAATTTCAATGTAATGATTTCCCCCTTGAAGAGAATTTAATTGTTGCTGTTGTCGTCAATGGGAGGCGAGTTCGTGAGTCCTCCACACTATCCTTACCTTACCCCACGCGCACGTGCGGCAACAATTTGATTTGGCAAGCCGACAATAATTGAAGAGAAAAGAAGTTCTACAAACTCACAGTCTGAAGCTTCATTTTTCTTAACAGGTAGTTCTTGATACCAAACTTGATGTGAAATAATTGTATCATAATTGATATTGAGTCCTGTGCTCGTGGGAAGAATTGTCGAATGGTATCCTATGACTATGGAGCCGTATATTCCAGGAAGTTGAGGGTCGCGAGCCTTTCTACAGAGCGCACCAAAGTACCATCGACGAGTCAAAGATCGACAAGTTTGTATTAAATGCCTCGTGTTTCCATGATATAAAATAGTACAGGGCAGAACGCGTAGATCTCAAGGGCTCACATTGTACTTCCTTCGTACGATGTAAACTACCAATGCTCGTCCTGCTGAGCTCACAATAACCAAGTGTGTGCTACAAGGCGAAGTTTGGCTTTCTGGAATATTGC